ATTTCCATTTAATTCCCACTTTCTTAAACTCCGATGCAAGTCGATGCGGAAACTATTTTATGGGACGGTGGGAGTATATAGGTACACACACTTCTGTTTGTACAAACAACTAATGACAAGTTTAAATTGTTTGTGTACACAAACAAAAATGTTACACATAGACAAAAATGTATGGATGCAAACATTTTTTAATTCTCTATCTACACACATTGGTTTGCGTATAAATCATATTGATTGACTTATTTTTTCCCAGATATGTCAGGGTGGTTGCACAAAAATTTGTGTCTATGTATACAGGAAAAAAGTGTATGTACTTATACATCTTTAACTGTGCACAGAGACAGTTGTTTCGTTGCAATCAAACTCAGACTGCTCTGCAACATTTTTGTTTGTGTACACAAACACTAAATGAAAATCATTTTCTGTATGGAGGCATTTTTTCCTATGGCAAAGATTTATAAAATGTTACAAGTTTTCAGATTTATGTTTCCCTACAGACGAGTTATTTCATTATTTAACATGACACAGACAATATTTTATACATCACACGGTTAATGATGAGACATATTTTTGGGAGTTAAAGATTTTATCCCTTGATAGACGTTTCAGATGTTTAGCTGAATAAACTTTGAATGGATATTTATGACAAACATCATCATCACCAATGTATAGGTAATAAATTTAAATCTCTTCTGTTGAGATTTTCCATCACTCATATCATAATGATGGTGAGAAGTTGTAGAGGAAGAATGAAGTTTCAAGGGTTCCTTAACCATAACACTAGAGTGAGATTTCACAAATTTAAACTCCTCTGAAGAAAGCTAAGAAGCATTGCCTATAACCAAACTAAATGACTAACTGCTTGAACATGTCTCTTTAAAGGTAGCACAAGACTCAGAGACATCACAATAATTTTGAGATTATTCAGACAATATCTTATGTCTTATAGCTTCTTTTTTTAGCACATTCCAAAATTCAGGCCATCCTCTTCTTTTGAAGTTTATTGAGAGAATTGCCTTTTAACTTTTCATAATGTGAGGAAGAAGATGAGCCAGTGGTCTTGGACCCCGGCCTATTTGGATGGAGGCTTTACATATTTGCTCTTTAAATCAAGAGAGGAGGTAGATGTTGTGTCTGTAATGGGGGCACTTTTGAGAAGAGATATATCATTTGAAAGTTTTTCTTGTTCTGTTTTGAAAACCTTTCTTTCAGTTTTCCAAAGATATGTGTAAGTCCTCAATTTTGCGAATGATCTCTATAATATAAACACTATTATTTTAGGATTTTGAGAAACAGAAGATTCGTCCCATGTAGACACATTCTCACTCGCATGACTAAGGATTGAATCATAGTCAGTAGACAAGGGAATTTCCAGTGTTTTATAACTATTATTCAGATTTGTATAGTCAAAAGAGATTTCAACATTGGCTTTATCTCTTTTCTTCTGTTATACGGGACTTACAAGTGGGGTAAGTCCTAAACCCATGTATGAAATATCATACCATTGACGTGATCTCACTTTCTTAAGGTGACACGGGTTTTTACAATTCCAATCCTTGTCTTGGATCGTAGAATCTGGTGTCCTTAGACTGATTCAAGAAAATTGTTTGATCAGTTTGACCTCTTTTGGTAAGTAAATCGTCCAATTTTTGAATTTTGGAATAAAGTTGCTTGTGTTCCTTGAAATTTTCATCATTAAAGGTATTGAACTTTATTTTTTCAATTTCTGTAACAGTCAGTTTCTTAGTTAAGTCACGAACCTCGGCTTCTAGATTTTCTATTTTAGAATTTAGATCAGTGACTTTCTCTTGTGTGTTGGTTGGTTAAGTATTGAGTCTACTTATTTCACCAAGCTCTTCACTAAGCGCTTATAATTATTTGCTAAGCGGGTTTCTAGTTCCTTAACTATTTTACGATCATTAGCAATTAAGCTTTCAGAATGTAAGGAATTAGAAGTACTTGTCTCGAACTCATCAGAAGATTCAGCATAATGATTTACAAATAAACAATGATGCTGAGTTCGAATGAGCATCCATTTTGATTGTCTGATATGGATCGTTAATGTGTTGTTGATTGAGTTGTTTGCACTTTGCAAGTTCATGGACCTTGGTGTGAAATGTTGACAAGCTTTGAATTGAAAAATATCCTCCTTTGTTCTCGAGAAGTGTTTGTTTTTAACCTTGTGATTTTTTAATTAATTAATCAATAAAATTTTTAATTAATTAATTAATAATACTTCATATATATTTTTAATCACATGTTGACATTTGAAAGCTTTGACCGTAGAGTTGACCTTTGGATTTGGAGTTTGTACCTTAAAGTTTGAAATGGGCAAAAAATTAACTTTTGAAGTGGGTAGTAGGAAAAGTGCACTTTTTCAAGTGAAAAAAGAAGTTAGGTTCTTAACTTTTCCCTCCTTAAAAGTCTCGGTTGCACAATACGCACCATTGATTTCCATAATTCTAGACTTCCTTAAAACTTGGAATACAAAGACATTATCCTATGCTGGGAAGATTGAGCTAATTCGATCGGTGATCCAAGGGGTCCAATCGTTTTGGCTCCAAGTCTTTCCGGTTCCCCAAACAATTTTGGATAGGATTGTGTCCATCTGTAGGATTTTTTTGTGGGGTGGGAAATTCGCGAAAGTTGCGTGGGATGATATTTGCCTACCAAAAGCGGAAGGGGGGCTAGGAATCCATAATGCTAAAATTTGGAATCACGCCCTCCTCTCACGTGTTATTTGGGACGTGCATAATAAAAAGGATACCTTGTGGGTAAAGTGGGTTAACGGTGTTTATCTTAATGGTAGGAGTGTGTGGGATTTTATTCCACACAACCGAGACTCTCAGCTCATGAAGCGGATGAGTCTTGTTCGGGACAAATTGAGAGGGTGTTTTAATAATCTGAATGACACCATATTGGGCCTCAATTCGAGGGCCATAAATGGAAAATTAATCTCAAGCAAGGTGTATGACCTACTAAGGGTTAAGGGTGAGACTAGGACTACAATGAGCTTCATTTGGAAATCCTATATCCCCTCGAAATTTTCATTCAATGTATGGTTGGCTCTACGAAACCGGCTTCCTACTCAGGATAGCCTCATTTATCTACAAACTACATATTGTGAATAGATGTGACTTATGCAAGGGTGGTTTGGAAACAATACCACACCTTTTCTTCCAATGCCCTTTTACATGTAGGGTATGTCAACGAATTAGAGATTGGATGAGACTTAGCCACCAAATGACTACGCTAGCGAGCTCGGTCAAATGGGTACTAAAGACGCACAAAGGCTCGAAGGTGAAGGGCAAAGCGGTGAGATTGGCATTCTATGCCTCGGTATACTCCATCTGGAGAGCAAGGAACGAGGCTAGGTTTGATGAAGTAACGAAAAATGAGGAAGACATTGTTGCTAAGATCAAGATTGTGGTTTATAGGATACTCTTTAGTATCTACCCACAAGAGTTGATCAAGTTCTAAGGTGAAGACCGCGACATGGATATTATGGATGCCGCGGTATGGATACAATGCCTCATGACTATTTGGTGCGACGAGGCATGGATATCTTAGATGTCGTGGCTTGGGCATTCAGGACACCTTGGCATGGACATCATGGATGCCGTGGCATGGAGCATGGTCTTGGATTTCAGGGTGTGCGTGCATGCAGACAACACCGATGTATTTTTTGAAACTCTTGATGGGCCAGGTTTTATACCTGGTTATTTTGGCATAGAATAGATCGAATAAAAACCTCCTTTCACCCTCACATTATGTGGGGGTGGGGGAGGTTTTAGGAGATCTAGGATATGTGATGTATAGTTTTTCTGGGTGTTAATATATATTTACATTTCATCCAAAAAAAGAGAAGGAGAAGAGCGGAACTCTTGCGCATATGGGATTCCAACTCGTAGTTAAAAATCGGAAATTCGTATCCCCGCACGCGGGCGTCCTGCGGACACGATAGCAAAAAAACATTGGCGGGTTTCAAAAGACAATTTTGCTCTTTCACAAAAGCATTAAATTTTGCCAATGAAAGTCTAGACGTTTTCGTGAATTAAGCGTTTTTTCGAAAGTGTAAAGTTTTTCCGAAAGAACGTCTAGACGTTTTCGAAAGAGTTCTACGTTTTCGAAAGATCTGATCTTTTGAAAAAATATAAGCCTTTCAAACAAAAGGAGTCTTTTGAAAAAAACTTTCGAATATGACCAGTCTTTTGAACGAAAAACGGAGTCTTTCAAAAAAATCAATCTTTCGAATACAATCAATCTTTCGAACGAAGAAAGGGGTATTTCGAAAAAATCAATCTTTAAGAAAAAATCGGACTTTCATTTGGCTGAAACAAATTGGACGATTCAAGATGTTATGGATCGTCTCATCAAAAGCTACAACTTTTATCAAGGAATCAAGCACAGAAAATTAACACAGCAAAAGTCATGAATAAAAAACGACACTGGTCTACAGTCTTACGAAAACTGGCGTTCTTCATATCAACGATGTCCATAAAATCACAGGTAAGCCAATCAGTATATTTATTCAACAATCACGGATATATAACAAGAATAGAGAAGATTTAAAACTTGAATTCAATACCCATAAAGATACGTCGATGAATGAACATGGGATGTGAATATCAATGACGCCCCCTTCTCTCAACAATGAATGGATGGACGCAGTGAAAAACTAAGCCAAAGATACTGATCAGCTCGATAAGTCTAGGATACATACACATGCGTTGATATCCCAGAGTACGTGAGATATGTGATCCGACATATAGGAAAGTGACATTCCACTTTCCTATTACGGAGTATTAATTAAGCAAATACAAAACAAATACTAAATGGGCTAAATAAATACAAGGCCCAATAACAAAACTAAATACACAAATACAAGGATAACTAATGCAATTGGGCACAACAAAATAATTTATAACAGAGTTATTTGAGTAAATGTTTAAAACAATATCTTTATACAACAATACAATTATACTAATTTTGTAGTTAGTGTCATATTGAGTTATACGCACACGTTTAAGATTTTATTATTTTAATACAAACATCAATTTACAATAATACATGAATACAAGTAGGTGAAGTAGTAACTAATACTACGTAGTAACTAACAATTGAAAGCAAAACTAATGAGGAAATGGTCAATTAAGTACATCAACTTGTATGAGATGAAGCAAATAGTACATTATATTGTATTTGATCTCTCTGTTAAATGTCCCACACCGGAAACATTTGAATGAACAAAGTGCTATATGCCTATATTAACACATGGGCTACTCCTTCTATCAGGTTGACCTTTTAGGATGGAACCCCGTGTCTTAACATGGTATCAAAGCCAAATCGATCCATGGTGTGGGGCCCCTTATGAATCGTGATGACACGATTATTAAAAAAAATGACAATTACGACCGGATGAAAAAAAACGAACCGATGAAAAAAAAAATGAATGATTGCACGATCCAGACGAAGTGTCTGATCGTGAGGAGGGGTGTTAAATGTCCCACACCGGAAACATTTGGATGAACAAAGTGCTATATTAACACATGGGCTACTCCTCCTATCAGGTTGACCTTTTAGTGTTAATTGAGTACACTTGTTAGATTAACACGTTAATGCAACTGAGTCGACTAAAGGAATGTTGAGTAAGAAGGGGGACCAAGGTTATGGTGCCGACCTTCACGAAGCTGACAAAAAAGGGGAAATCGACCTTTGGAGGTTGATCTGTTGGGGCGTCGGCCAGCAGGGGTGCATCGACCAAGGAGAAGTCGGCATGCGGGGGACTGACGTTGATCAAGGGACGAGGGGCTGGCGTCGACCTTCAAGAAGTCGGCCTATTAGCATTCTGTTAGCCAACTCAACCGTATTAACGTGTTAATCTAACTGGTGTATTCAATTAACACTAAAATCCGAATTTGTGTACTTAAAAAGATCAAACACAATGTAGTGTTACTCTTAACCACATCTCGTACAAGTTGATGTAGAACCCTTACCTCCAAAACTAATAGTAGTACAAAAAGTAAACCAGGTAATCAATCAAGTAAAAAGAAATATTGCAAGAAGCTTAGCTGCTTGGAAGTGAGAAAATTAGATGCTTGCTGCTTGCCTGAAGAATTAGAAGACCTGAAACCTGATTGCTTGAAGTCTGAAGTCCTGAAGACCTAAAATTGAAGGCCGGATAGATAGAAGATAAGTGAAACAGAAATGGAGCTAGGCTGTAACAACTAACAACTAACAAGTGAAACAGCCTGATTACTTGACTGCTCCATAGTCGGCCATGTCGAAACTAGGACGGTCGGTCGGTGGTCGTTTCCAGCTTCAATTGAGATAGTCTGCTCCTAAATTAGACTGGTATTTTTTGTTAAATGTTTTATCTTGAAATTTATTTATGTTCTTAATAGATGTTGTAAATTGTCACTTAAAAAATGCACTCAAATTTAGAAATTGATGTTATAAATCGCATTGTACTGTTCACATGCATCAACTTCACATTCTGCCAAAAAAAGTTCACATGCAGCCTCATACTTTGTCTGTTTGTACTTTGTACCACACAGAGAAAAGTTTTGTTTGGCTCTCTGTTTCACTTATCTTATATCTATCCATCTATCCGGCCTTCTCCTTGTTACTTGTTACAGCTTAGCTCCATCTCTTTGGATTTGATTTTCTGCAATGGCTGCTGCTGCTTTCATCTTTGTCTGCTCCTTCTTCTACTTCTTTGCTTCATCATCTCCTATGCCTATCCATGGCGCCCACAGCACTGTGCCTCAGATCACTGTCATGGGGATGGTTTACTGTGATATCTGCTCTAACAATTCCTTCTCCCCACACAGCTACTTCATCCCAGGTATCACCCCTCCTATTATCCATATTCTTTTTCTTTCTTCTTTGTCTGCTTGCCCTACTAATATGAGCAATTTTATACCTAAACCAAAACAAATCATCTGCCCATAATTCTTGTTTTCTTTTTTTGTTGTCCCAAAATTTTCTTCTTTTTATTTCCTTTCTTCTAGGCTTATATGTGTGTATGTGTGTTTTATCAAATAAAATTAGCTTTTCCCATGAAAATTAGAATCAATCTTGGGCATTCCAAATGGGAATGTTTGTTTTCTATTGAATAAGGATGATTTTAATTGGAATGAAATTTTCTGATCTGGTCTGTTTAAGTCTGACATGGTCTGATCTCGTATATGTCCGGTTTATGTGTATTTTACAACTGTCAGATGTCATTTGAAACTGAAACCAGTTCATGTAAAAATATCCTAATTTCTTTGTTACCTCGTTTATAAGACCTACCACCCCGTTTTACAAATTGTAATATAACGTAGGCAATCTGACAAATTATAAAATCATAATTTCCAAATTATACAATTATAAAATCTTAAATTCACACATCACATACTACGTATGTGTTGTGAATAATAGTCATTTTTACTGACCTAAGTGATTTAAAATGGTAAATAACTTAAGTAAGTAAAATCAAGAAATAACTTAGGTAAGTAAATTAGCAAATCAGTAAACAAACTAAAGACTATTAAAATAAATCTAAAATCAAGAAATCAACCAACGAAATCAAGAAATGAAATACGAAGTAATTGAGTAAAAAAGACACACAGTAACACAAACTTAATTGCTAAGTCTAAAGTAAATTAACAATTCAGTAAAATTGAAATTATACTATGATTTCTGGTTTTATTGTTGGAATTAAAAAAATAACTATCTGCTCCTTGCTTGAGTGGCATGGCTGAAATGCTGAAACGAGCCGGCCACAAGGGAGAAGCAATTTCGGTCTTCTAAAACTATAGTGCAATACAATGGCTGAATACTATCACATTTATGCCTATGATGTCATAATGTGGTTTAAGAAGGAGAAAAGTATATTATTTTTTGTTTAGGAAAACCACTTTGCTTTTACTACTACTTCCGTCTGCCGAACTTTAGTACATGAGGAGGTGGTGTGATTTTTAAGAAAATGAATTTTTGTGGTTGATATTGAATCACTAAAGTAAGGATAAAGTAAGAACAATTTACAATACACATACATTACAAAATTTGGTTTGGGGTAGAATGGATTGAATAGGAAAATGAGACATTCTTAGTGGAAGAGAGGGAGTACAATTATTAGAATACAGTTATGAAATTCTTTTATAGGAAAATTATGACCAAGATGTTATTACATGATTACGGCAAACAATTCTACACAATTACCAATTCAGAACTTTAGAACATAATTATAGAGCACTTTTGCATAAAAATGATGACTAGAATACAGTTACTTCACAATTGCTACACAATTCTGATAAATTTACCAAACAACTATGAACTATCAAATCAAAATCTTTGTAATGTTTGTTATCAAGCACATTTATATAAAAGCGATTACCAGAAGTCTAGAATGCACTTTTACCCTACAATTACCACACAACAGAACATAGTTATCACACACTTTTACAATGAAATGATGATCAGAATGCGATTACCCTAATAGAAAAACAAGTGTTCGGAAAGTTTCTAAAGAGTTATTAGTGAGTCTTCCAAACAGGAATGTACTCATCCTTGAGAGGTTCCATACTTAATCCAATGACTCTAAATAAGCCAATCAACTATGTGAGAGTGGAACATAAACATGCAATAGTGCTATCATATCCAATATGCAGTTGGTTGCGCCTTTCACCCGAAATGCTATTTTTATTTTGGTAAATAAATCAAAATTTTCTAACACTGAAAGAATGCAACAGAAACATCCAATAGCGCAATCACATCCAATATGCATCTGTTTACACTTTTCACCGGAAACACTTTTTTTATTGGACCTGCAACCTATATATTGTACTCATCAAATTTTCTTTGCTTGTGGTTTTCCTCCATGTTCTTCTTCTCCGTGACTTTGACATGTTTTGAATAGACCGAGACGGTTTCTACATGGTATGTAGCAATGAGCTTCGTAAGAGTAAGATGGTGTAGAAATCTTCATCTATGGTGCGAGAATGTTATGGATAGAAAGAATATAGCATGAAAAGAGTATATAAATAAATACGAGTACACAAGATATGTAATAATCATTTTCAGATTTCGACTTATATTTCAATTTCCTAGTCTTTTTACATAATAGAAACACTAACAAAGAATAGTAAATAAAGCAAGTTTTATACTCCATAATTGTGTAAAGATATCTAAAAGGAAAACAAACTACTCATTATAATTGAACATAAGTTGTCGTGTTACTGATTAGCACAAACCTTATTCAACAGAGGAAGTTGGACAAACCATTTAGGGAATTGGGTTTGCAACTTGCAATCACCATCACTATTATTTTAAAACAATGATGATGTTGATGATAATAATGATGGTGGTGGTGATATTCTTTAACCATAACTAATAGGTGTTGAAGTGAGAATAGACTGCACCTTCAAAGCAAGTTCACCAAAAACAGCAGAGCAGATAGTATTCTCCGTGAACAGAACGACAAACAGGTTAGGAATATACAAGTTGGAGATACCTACAGTGGATGGGATCGAGTGTGCAAGAGAGAAAGAGATGGGAAACTTTTGCCGGGCTAGCCTTATAGTGCAGAAAGGCCCATCATCATCATCATCATCATCACCGTCAGCCGCTTGCAACCTTCCTGCATCAACAACCACAACAGAAGAAGTGGCCATCAAATCCATAACTGCCAATACCTGCATCTACAGCCTCAGCGCTTTGACATTCAGACCCTCCACTAGAAATGTTGCTCTCTGTGGGTCTTCTGCTAATTAAGCAGCAGTGGCAGCTGGAGTCGCATATTTGTGTGTCCTACCTTCGATGTAATAATGCCATACTTAGTGTGTCAACATGGTTTCATTTCTCTCTAAATGTACTCACACATTAGTAGACCGGAGAATTCAAATTGAGAATTAGATTAGAGAATTTAAATTCGGGGAATTTGCACCCCAAACATGCAGAAACTTATCTAATCTAGAATGACCAAAACATTTGGTTTAACTAACATATCAATGCACCAAACGCCCTCGTGAAATATAAATTCGACGCATGAGCCTTTGTGATTTAAAAAATGCGTCAAATTCCCTTATGTTATAATAATTATGCGCCAAACCCCCTCCAAAAATAAATTTTTCAATTTTGAAATCACTTTTTTTAATAATATGGTTGATGGTTGAATATGCAAGTAACTTTGTCAAAATTTCTAAATATTACAGAAACTAATCATTTTTCATTTTTTGGAAACTAAATTTGTTCTTGGAGGGGTTTGGCGCATGATTAATTATAACACAGGGAAGTTTGACACATTTTTTAAATCACAGGGACTAATGTAGGGGTGGGCATGGGTCGGGACGGTTCGGGATTAGGGTTATCCCGGTCCCGTCCCAATTAATAATAACGGAACGGGACGGTACGGGACAAGCCTTTGTCCTAGTCTTGTCCCATTTAAATCGGGACCGGGATGGTTCGGAACGGTTCGAGACGTCCCAAACTAACAAAAAATAATCATTTGTAATTAATATATATTAGCATTTCTAAAGTATCATGCACCAAAATACGAACATTTTAAAAGTTAATTGATGTTCATCACAAGCTAAAAGCTATTACGTATTAGATTTTAGTTAGGTTTAGCAAAATTTGAAATTTAAATTTAAAACAAAGCAAAAATGAATTAGTTTATTCAAAATCATGTGTTGTAGCTGTGAGATACTCATATGTAGATATATAAAGTGGGATAAAAATCTATGTTAGTAAATATTCATGTTAGGTATTATTTTTAATTTAAAAATTGGGCTTGAAGAACTAAAAACATGTTACCATTTATTTTTTGAGTTGACATTACACACTAGTCACATGCTACAAAATCTATATAGTTATTACAAACGGGACAACGGGACGGTTCGGGATAACCTTCCAATGTCCCGGTCCCGTCCCGTTTTAAACCGGTACGGGACCGGTGCGGGACAAAATCAATGAGACCCAAACGGAACGGGACAACACCGGTACGGTTTCGGGATATACCGGAATGGGACAACGGGACCGGGATTCTTGCCCGCCCCTAGACTAATGCGTCGAATTTATATTTCACGAGCGCGGGTTTGGTTCATTAAACCCGACGAAGGATGAACAAGATTATCACAGAAGATTATCACGGGTGTTGTTACCCTCACAGAATGACTGCTATGGTCCCGGGAGGGAAGGAGCATATAGCTCCAGGCGGAGTAGAGAAAAGGTGGGGCATAGTGGCATACATGTCTCACATCCTTGAAGCATCTAGATTTTTTTTACTGGGTTTCCAAGGTTCCATTTGGAACTTAAATAACATTAGGGAAAAAAAGGGAAAATCACAATTTTGGTCCCCAATTAGTCACCATATTGAAATCCTAGACTTATGTTTCTGCTTTTTTAAATGTCACCCCCGATTTATCAGAACTGTTTTAAATGTCACCCCTGCCGTTAAAAAATTCACAAACTCCGTATTGTTTTCCATCCTTTCAGGGGTAAACATGTAACTTCACATCTTTATACGTTTAAATCCCTAAATCGAGTTTAAACCAAACTTTCTTTGTATAAGTCAAGTGAGGTACGTGCCATTTGTTTGGGGAGCTCTCTTCCCTTCATCCGTTCTTCAGTCGTTTGGATTTTTCAAGAGGTGTCACCATTGTCATATGATTCAGGGTTCTTCGTCTTCAACTTCGACATTCAAACGGAAATCTTGGATTAAATATAGCTTCAATATTAGAACGCCGTTTTCAACGGAAAATTGGCGGAAAAGAGTTCAAAGCAAAGGAATAAGCAAAACATTCAATTTGGACTGATAAGCGAAATTAAGGATTGACGATAACTCGATTTAGGTATTTAAACGTATAAGGATGCGAAGTTACATGTTTACCCCCAAAAAGGGAAAGCCACACGGAGTTTGTAAGTTTTTTAACAGAAGGGGTAACATTTAAAAAAAATCTGGCAAAGCGGGCGTGACATTTAAAAAAGCAAAAACACGGGTCTGAGATTTCAATACGGTAGCACACAAATTTATTATTTATTAATAATTTTCTCTATTAAATACGGAATATAAATCACTCACGTTAGTCACGTACAATTAATACGGAGTATGTTTTTATCATGTTTAGGTACTCAAGCGATACCATGGTTTGAAAATTTTAGATTACTCAAGCAGTCAAGCGATACGTTTGTCGTTTTTATACAACACAGGGATGATTTAATAATTTGATCAAATCTTATGAAGATAAATGCAATCAACCTTCCGTATTGAGTTCAAATTTTGGAGTATTAAATTTCGTTACAGTGATATGTTTGTCATTTGCATAGATGAGTTGTTTAAAGCAAAACTGCCATTATTGAGTCTTCTCAATCCATATTATATTTCGCGCTTAACACGATTTTCTCTAGAAAATCAAGAGTGTGTGGAAATTATATTACACATCCATTTCTTTTAATAGATTTCACAACTCATCTATGGAAGTGGCAGTTATAATTACAACTCATCTATGGAAGTGGCAGTTATAATTACTTTTTGATAACCATTAAAAAATTGCTTTTTAATATATAAAAAATCACTGTAATTGATTAAAGCAATTAAATAAAGGGCGTGTGGCAATTATATTACGCAATTATATCCAATCTTTCACCTAAAGTCCGCTCATCCACCCATGTGCATGGGCGGAGCTAGGAGTGGGCCAATCCTGGTCCGGGCCCACCCCAAATTTTAAAAATAACTTAATTTCTAAGGTAAAAAATTTTGTGTAATTTTTTTTCTAAAAATATCTTTGTGCCGGTCCAATGTGACCCAGTGTCTTGGCTCCGCCCTTGCTGGCCATGTGTATATGTAAATACATAAAAATATATACTTCATCTGTCTTTTAAAAGTTTGTCAAGTTTGAACGACACGTAAAATAATAAAGTAAAAATTGCATGGTAGATATTTATGCAGAGGAGAGAGAAAAACAAGAGTCACAAATTCATAGATTAAAAAAGAATGTGACACAATTTTTAGATAACCAAAAGAGGAAAGTTGCCATAATTATAAGGAACGTGGGGAGTATGTATATGTGAGTATAACTTCTTTATATATTTAATTATTAATGATTTTTTAGGAGTAATAAAAATTATACTACTCCGTATTATATATTTTGGAAGCAATAAAAATTTGTATTTACAAAGGTTGTAAACTCTAATACTTTATATTCTTAAGGAGTTAGTAGTGTACAATCTAATACAGTAATACTCGGGCCCATTTGATAACATTGAAATCAACTGAATCAGTTGAATTTGCTGAAATTGATGAAACTCACCTTGACTGGTCGAAGTGGTTGGATTTGTTGAATTATGAAAAAGTATTTTAAATATATTTTATTAATAAAATAAAGAAAAAATATAATATGCATGAAAATAGCTAAAGTGACCGTCTGCACTAACACTATTACACTAATCATCAATCTAGTTAGAAAATTAATCTCAAACTTACTTATTTTGATTATTACACAATTTAACACGAAAAATAAAAAAATTACGTGTTTGATAGATAAGTTGGTTTAAAACGTTAATAAAATGAGGATCACTAAACATGCTATATATCTTATTTGTTTATATCTCAAACCATTACATTTTTAGAATAGATTTTAATTTTTAATTGCTGCTACTTTTTTTTCCTTTAAAAAAAATCGCTGCTACTTTTTAAGGACATACTCATTTAAAATTGGAAATTGGAAATTGGAAACACGATTCAATTAATATCTTATTTAGTACTTTCTTCCACTTATAAAGATTGACCAACTTTGACTCACACTTGAATAATAAAATAAAAGTTGTATCTATCAAATTTTTGTAGAAGAGCGAGAATTAGAATTGTTGCTTAAAAGGAAATGAGACAACATTTTGGGATAGGAAATAAGGAAATTTGACAAAAAAAAAAAATTGGAGATGGAGAGTATTACAAAATAATCTATTGGAAATTGGAATAGATTTGACAAGATCATATTTTCATTTTAGTCAATTTAAAGTTGAAACTTGAAACTGTAATATGGTTAAGCCTGTACGGAGTATAAAAAACTGCTCCCCTCCCCATTATGCAGTATGGTTAAGCTCTCTCCATTCTTGTTGAATCTCTCAAAGCCTATTGCATCCTGCACTTCCGGATTTAACTAAATGTCTAACCCAGATATAGCTTATCCGTTCATGAATGATACTCTTCCCACCTAGTCACTCTCGGATTCGAGGGAAAAACAAGCATGGAGAAGCAGAGAAGTTTCTCAATAAAGCGCACAAGATTCTTGGTATTTTCATTCACAGTCTGTTTAGGTCTGATATTCCTAGTCTTCTTCTCCATTTGGGTCATCAAGCTCTCTCCTTTTCCTCAAGAAACCCATATTGAGTTAAATAGTGCCCACTTTCTTAGCTTGGGTTCAATGCCCTTCATAGCTCAGACCTCTCTTGGTTCCAAAGACCCAATCCTTGGAAGTGCCCAAGAAAACAAGGGGAAAGTCGCAGCTGGTGAGGTAAATGGAAATTTTACTGTAACTGCTAACACCAACTTGTTGAAATTTGGGAAGTCACCTGAATTTTCTGCAAATGAATCTGAGAATTCTGAAAACTGTGGAATGAGTGTTTATACTTCTGCTAATTGTAATGTTAAGCAAGAAAAAGTCTCTTCAACTAGTACTTTATCCAATAAAATAAGTTTGATTGAGAAAAAGGAGGAGGAGAATGGGGGAGTAGTTTGTGATGTGACGAATGGGAAATGGGTGTTTGATGAGATGCATCCCTTGTATACCAATGTTTCTTGTCCATTTATAGACGAAGGGTTTAATTGTCAAACTAATGGAAGAACAGATAAAGATTACATGAAATGGAGGTGGCAGCCTCAACATTGCAATATTCCAAGGTAAAGAAAGATACCAGTTTTCCCCTTCAATTTGTTATATGTTCTGAAGTAATATTTGAAAGAGTTTTGAGCTTAATCCTTACAGGTTTAATGCTACCCACATGTTGGA